ACTCTCCATAGCAGTGCCCTGCTCTCTGCGAGCCCCACACCAGGTACATGGCTCAGGGGACCGGCTCCCTTGTTACCAGGGAAAAAACCTGGGCTGCAAAGCTGCACACCTGAATCATGCTGCTCTTCGAGGAGCATCCAGCCTTTGCTTTGCATAGCAGTGGCTGCTCATGCCTGGCAACACTGAAGTCTGGTCCTGTTCACCAAGGAGGAAATGGGCAGGGTAGAGGCATGAGCTAGCCCATGCTGTCATCAACAAGTTGTCCAGATTCTTCTGCACTGCCTAATACCCTCAGTTGCCCTTAAATTATACCAGCATGAGCCTCAAGAAGTGCAGGAGCTAAATGTCTTTCGTTCATTCATAGAATAGAATAGAGTAGAACAGCATACAATACAATATAATACAATAGAAGAATAGCATATTTCAGCTGGAAGGGACCTCCAACAATCATCTAGCCCAACTGCTTGACCACTGCAGGGTTGACAAAAAGTTAAAGTGTGTTATTAAGGGCATTGTACAAATACGTATGTTGACAGGCTTGGGGCATCAACCACCTCTCTAGGAAGCCCGTTCCAGGGTCATTGGATCATTGGATCAGCAGTGAAAGTGGGAGTGCTGGCAGGTCCCAAACTACACGTGGTCATCCTTCGCAGAATTTTACTGAAAAGGCATGGAGATTATCCTAGTATTCCAGATATCACCTATATAAATAATCAGCCTCACAGCTGAAAATGCATCAGAAAAACATTCAAGAGCCTTTTAAAGATGCTTGTCTTTTTATTTCATCTTCACACTCTTGCTAACTTCTTCTGTTTGTAATCAGCAGTCATGACTCAAGTCTTTTGGCACAAGGACTGGTTTTTACTATGTTGTATTAAATTCAGTTGAAACTCAAACTTTCTATTTTAAAGAAGGTTCAACCTTTGTTTTCGTGACTTCTTGTAACAAAAGGAAATACCTCCAAATTCACCAGAATTTGTTTTACATTTAAGATTTTGAAATTTCATTTCAGAATCACATAGCGATATTTCATGCTTATGTAAATTACATGCTTATACACCAATTACAATTCAAAATGTTAAAGCCCACTGACCTTGTTACTGTGCATTACTGAAATGTTATGAAATAATGTAAGAAAATTTTAAAAACAAGAATGTGTGCAAAAGGAACCAGTTTGGGGAATGACAGCTTTGCAACAAATCTTGTAAATACTTCTTTCAGTGAATCAGTGCTTCCCAAGGCAAAAAAAAGAAAAAAAAATTTCACTCAAAGTAATGAAGCAGCTTAAGTCTATAGCTGCCTTTGGAGTACACAGGTCTCAGTCTGTCTTGAACCGCCCTGTCATCCCGGGAAGCTCAGGTAATTCCCAGATGCAACTCAGTGCACAGAGCTCAGAATGAATGGATACCAGCCAGTTCCCCTGCCACCTTTACAATGTACCTGCTCAATTTTACCTTCTGATTGTAATTCTCAGTCCAACCCTCAAGCGGACAACACCTAAGGAAAGTTTCTTATCTGTTTCTCTGCCTGTCCTCAGTGTGAAGTTTATGAACTGCACCCGCACTTGCTACAGGGCTGCCTCTGCCTGCAGCTGGCAGCCAGCACCACGCTGCTGGGAACTGGTCCTTGGCTCATTTTTCCCAGCTTCAAAACCAAAGCAAACCTTTCCCATCAGAGGGCCAAATCCTGCCAACAAGTAACTCGATCCTTAAGACTGGATCACTGCTGAAGTTCCGTGTAAGGATCACGCTGCTCTGGACTCCTGCCGCTGGAAAAACGTGATCTGTGCACAGTAAGTGCTGGTGGGATCAGGCACACACCTCCTGCGTTTGGCTGAGTGAAGTGCAAGCAGGATTTTACGGTGATTTCAAAAGCAGATGAGAAAACCTTTTCAGTCCGTGCAGCACGGCCTCATTCCTCCAGGGAATGTCGTGTCTCCTGTGCCATGTACCTTTGTATTATGTCTCACATCTTTAAAAGCACCAACAGAAAAGCACCAACAGAAAAGCACCAACAGAACAAACTTCACCTCAGAGACCTATTGCCTTTTTTTTCTCCTTAATATCACTACCAGAATTTGATGAAAAGCTTTTTATACTGCAGTAAGATTTACTGCTGATTGGTATTACCAGCTCTGACTATTCCCACATGTCCCTTCACTGGGAAGTGATGCTCCTCTGTGAGGTCTGACATTAACTTTTAATGCTGCCACCAAGAAGGACACTCATCTGTAAAATTGCAGGCAAACAACAGGCTTAAGTAGTAATTATTTTAACCTAGTTTATTCCAGCCTAAAAGATAACAATGGCTGCTGCATCTAGCAGAGAATGACATAGATGCCACTAAGGTCACTAAGATGCTCTGCGTCTTTTCTCCTGTTGCCATGCTTGTACTATTAAAAAAAATTTCCTACACACTAGGTTTGGAATTGGTTTGTATTAAGGATCTTCTCCTTCGTATCTTACAGCTTTTTTAGTTGGGAAACAGAGATGACAATTCCCTACCTGCTTCAGAGTGAACCCACAGGAAGGTTACGTGAAGGAGACATCTTTGAACCACTGGCTCTAAAAGCACCAAACTTCACTCCTGCCCTGAAATAACAGGCTCACCAAACCATCTAAAAGTAGACACAGGCTTGTCAGTCTCTTAACTGGGGCCAGTCTTCAAGGAGAAGCAGAAATCCTGTGCTGGGCTACCAGCTCTAGTGGGAAAAACAGACGTGTAACTTCCTCCCTGTCTGTTAAACCAACATTTCACCCCAGCTTTCTAGGAATTGGGAGGTGGTGCAGTGCCAACAAGCAGGTATTTCCTCCTGGGTCCCTTAACACAGGTCTCTTCTCATGCTGAACACCAAACCAGTTCAGCCTGGTCCCGCAATGCTGCTCTGACATGAACTCCAGCCTGCATTGGAGAAACATTTGCACTGGAAACCTCATGCTTTCTATGTCCATGCTTGGTCTTAGAAAAAAATTAGCTCAGCTACAGTCCAAAGGAGCCCTTTTACGGCCAGCATATGCTCCGGCAGCCTGCCAGCAGTGCTCTTCTAAGCCATCCAGCAAAGTGACACCATCAGTTACAAGATCTATGTGTGTCAGGTCACTGGGTTATAAAACAGAAGTGTCATAAGCATGTAAGGACATGGTTTGGGCTCTCTGTGAGAGAAGATCAAATTATTTTTGTGGAATCAGATTACTCTCTTGGGATATATACCAGTGGGAAAGGGCCACTGCATTGTAATAACATTTCTACTGGGAAGTATCAGTTCCAATATTCAGAATCATTAAAAACCCCTGAAACTGATAAAGACCTGAATCGATGGGATGTTACCATTACACTGCAGCTAGCACGATGGTGAGGTACTGTGTGCTCGGATGGAAAAACCCAGCTTAGACTGTACGCTGTGCTGTGTTGGACTACAGTAAAAATCAGAAGTCGCTCTTTCCACAGGAAATGACAGCAACAAGATGAAAACCATGGTAATAAGCAATACGACTCTCCCACGCGTTACTTCCTAATAACACCTAAGAATGCACACATTTGTAGCATGTTTCAAAAATGTTAGCTCCGTCACAAACCTATCATGAGCAATGAATGTCCCTCTGAATCGGCCCTCCTGTCCTTCAAACAAAACTGAGGACCAGGAGAGTGACAGAGGCTGAGAACTACAACATGGGTAAGGAAAAAAAAAAAAAAGGGAAACATGCTGAAAGAATGAAACCAACACGTGTAAAGAATCGATACATCGTGCTGATATACGCAACGCAACCTGCATGGGTATTTTTAAAATAAACTTCATGGTAGAGAGAATGACAAATTCTCGGGCTAGTGATACAGCTGTGAAACCTCAACTGCTTAAGCTATACAAATATACGTTAAAAAGAAGTGGCCCTTATCAATAATCTTCTTGATTAAAATTTGAGGCAGACTGCTAGGGTAATTGCTGTTTCAGAGTTGCACTTCTGTAGTGGTCAGTTATCCCTGACTATGGTGGTAACCACTTGGTGAGATGAAGAGCAGAAGCAAAGTAAAGCAATACTAAACAATAAAGCATGGGGTGGGGGTGGGGGATAAACCCCTAAAAGAAGGTCAGACAAATGTAAAAAAGAAAGAAGGAAAATTACACAGATGCTGATAAGTTTCTGAATTGCAGTGCAAGAGATTACAGAAGAACCCATCCTCCCCAAGCCCCCTTCTGCTCTCCCCTCTCCTCCTTATCCTTCTCCGCAAATAAAAATGTAACTTTTATTTATGCCTATACGTAAGTGCTGACAATCAAACACATTCCACCCAGCTTCTGGGTAAGCCAGCACACTGCAGAAAAACAAAAAAGCCATTATTTGGGTGGATTAATCAGTCTGTATTACTGACTTGACTGGTGCCTTTTTTATTAGCAGCTGTTAGAGCAGGGATCAGAGAGTGTGCTGGTGTGGTGCAGCTGTTCCACATATGCTATAAATAAGGGCTGGTAAAAGCTCATCCTATTTTTAACATTATGAAAAAAAACAAGAAGTCACAGAAATTCTCCATTAATGCCTTGTAAGTGGAACTTTTCTCCTATTCTTGACTTTAATGCCCAGAACTGAATGGACAAAACAGGCCATTCTTCAAATAATATTCATTAAAAAAGAAAAGAAAATGCAGTTTAGTAGAATTAGGTTAAGCCAGTGCAGAAGATGTAACCAATTAGTGTGTACAGCGTCTTTTTCTTCAAAAGCAGACTTAATCAGGATGAAAACAAACTATGGCAATTCTATTTCTAATAAAATTGTTGGATTACCACACCAAAGAGTTCCTCTAGCACAACCCAAAAGCTGAACCCGGCACCACGCAGCTCAGACACCACCACTCGCCCTTCCCAAAGCGGCCCTCGCTTGCCCTGTCACTGGGTTGCTGTGTGCATCATCATGTGATGATGTGAGCCCATCAGCAGCTCCTGCTCACCAGCTCCAACGCTGGAAAGGTCGACGTCGATTCAACGTGAAGGCAAACCCCCCGCTCACCTGTTTTCGGGGTCTGACACCGTCATGTTGCGGGTCACGTAGCACATCTTGAGCGGTATTGTCTTCTTGTCTCTGTGGACGGAGAGCGAAAGCTGCGACAGGGGGTCAGCAGAGGCACAACCCAAGCGGGGAGATTCGGGGGGAGGCGTCTCCCACCCGATTTCCGAAACAGGAGAGCCTTTCTTCACATAGGGGGTTGCTTCTCTCATGTATTTCACTACAGAAAAAAAAAAAAAAGAGAAGAAAAAGGAAAGTAATAAATAAGTGGATATTCGATAGTTGCATTTGTGTGAGTTCTTTGAACCCTCAGTGCTATTTATTATTTCTACTTGTCCCACATCGTGGCAATGGAAGCTGTGCAAATACAGAAGATGGAGATCTGACTGCAGCTCATCTCAGCATGATGAAATCAGTAAAAGGAGGGAAAAGAACAGAATAGGAGAAATAAGAACATACAGCTAATGTAAGGCCAAGAGAGCCATCTGACCTCTACTCGACGGGCTATAAGTCTTGACGCAGCAACTCCGGTGTACAGAAGCCATGGGCTGGCTGAGGTATAGGGAAGTTTTTACGAAAGATATTCAACCGAGTGACAGTGAATTTATTATTCCCCTATCTAAAATCTCCCAGCGATACTCCCAGTGCTGCAAACTCACGTCTCGCTCCTGGTTCACGCTTGTCAGTGTTCCTGCTACTGATCTCGACAGCTATTTCTGCTTGCTGGGAAGCAGTTTTAGCTGATCTACTTGTACACATATACATGGAGTAAACAAAAACCAATTCACCTCTTAGCCTTCTCACAGGGGAACAAAATTGAGTTCGAGTCTTTCATGAGAGTGGAGGTGTCAGATCAGATCTCTTCTCAGCCTCTTCCAATGCTTTTTTCCAGTACAGATAGGAAAAGTGAATGTAGGATTCCCAAATGATCTTAATGTATGCAAAAATCAATACCTCTTTAACACTCCTACTGCATGTTCCCCTCTTTATGAAGGCAAATATTGCAGCGTTTTCCCTGGTTTTGAATTCTTTTGGCAGTTCATCACTTTTGCTTTTGCTTTTCACGTGCTTGGCAAATCTGCCAGCCACAGTCTCCTCCTCCTTCTCAAACCTGACAGAGCTCAGCCAAGAAAAGACCTCACGTTTAAGCACCCTGGTGAAACGTACATATGCAACATACACAGCTGTGGCTGCCTAACTAGCTACTGCCACTCGATTGTACTCATGACTCAAACAGCAACGAGATGAACTGAAAGGGCAGGAGCACTGTGAACTTATTTGGGGAAGTTATTAAAATGCTGTGAGAGATGATTTCAAGGAACCCGTGCAGATCATCATGTCGGCTCGGCTGAAGAGGCTGGGAATGACTGAATAACAAAAAGATGGGTAAATTACAAAAGGGCATTGTGGTGAAGGAGGTTAAATAAGGGAAAGCAGGCTCAAGTTTTTAAGCTCAAAGTGGGAGCAAGGGAAGTATTCAGAGGAATGGAGCAGAACAATGATGTTTCTGTCAAAACCACAGATAAGGTGGGTAAGTTCAGCAGCACTATTTTCAAGGCACTTCATAACAGCTTTACCAAGAGAGATACCTGTGCAAAACTAGAGTCCAGGCTCTGTGAGCTTCTATTGCCATCTTTCCTCTAAAACACCTTAGTGCACATCTTGTCGTTGCTCTTTCTTTCCTTTTCAAAAAATCTGTTAACCTCAATATTAAGTACTTCTGTGTTTAGGTATTTTACCAGACATTCCTCTGTGAGAAGGATCATTTGTGATTTATCAGATATGCTGTCCTACCAACACTGCTGTTTTGATTTCTTTGACCCACACTATTCTGACTAATTTTTGAAATTCATTTCTTACCTGCTCAGGGAAGGGCTGGCATGAGATTCTATCAGGCTTCCAGAAACTCTATAGGCAAAGTGTGTTGAGATGGATATTTTGATCTTTTTGTAGACACCTGCCTGGAGTCCATTATCTAAAAACCTGTGTCACCTAACTCTCAAAACCAGTGCTTTGGGCACTCCATAAATTACCTGATTTTCAAAGGTGCTGAAAATGAGCAGTTTTAGCCAGTGCCATATTGGTTTTAGCAGTCAGCATCTCAGTTTGGATGTACTCACAGCCTTGGGGAAACAGAGAGACCGAACACATACAGATGTACTGAATCTATTCCTGTTTACACTGAACAAATATGACTTTCTCATTCATTTAGATGGGAGGAACAGCTGAAGCTGTAAAAATTATGTTTAACTGCAAACAAAATTTTGTTCCCTTTAAAACTAGATATTATCAACTAAACTGTTGGAAAAAGTCATCCAGTCAGCTTTCGAACTCTGTTACAGTGGCATGCCAGCAAATATGATGCTAAATAAAGGTCCAGGTCTCAATAGTGTAGCTATTTCAGCTGTGCTGCTTTCATCCTTTTGCAGCTGCAGCTATATGCATTCAACCTGAGCATCTTTTAATTAAGGAAAGGAGAGAGGGGCAGAAGGAGGAAGGAAGCTGAAGTGAAAAATTTGGCTCTAAATCTAAGCAAGAAAACAAAATGTGAATTTAATTCCCCAGAGATGAGGACAGAAGAAAAGAGCCGTCCCTTCCATGTGCCAACAAGCCAAGTTTCCATGCGACGCACTAGTGAATTCATGGCAGGCAGCTGCACTGTTTCAGAAAGTCTTGTGAAAGAGGAAGCAGGAGCAGGAGGAGAGAGAAGAAACACAACCTTCTTTCCACAAATTCAGTCTCAAACACAGAAAAAGCTAAGAAAATTATCTCAAGGAAAAATGTTCTATGAAAACTGCCAACTTCTGATCTCCCAGACATCTAGTTGCTACTAACTCAACAGGAGACGGCTGCTCAGACCCAGAGACTTACATGAATGAAGATCCATTAATATACTGGTAAACTGCAGAACACCATCTTCCTACAAAATTCTACAGGAGAATTTAAAATAAAGTGAACCTAGGTTTTCTGTCAAAAAAAGTATTTTAGTAGTTTTCTACTGATTACTTCTTACTTCCCACTAAAAACAAGTACAGCTCTCTAGATTCACCGCTGAATTCTGCTGGGTTTTACAAACCAGACTTTATGTCTCTTGCATATTCAAACGTGTTTCATATCTTAAAAGCCCCCAAATGGATACACACGAATGCACAAATGGAATATGGGAGTGGAACAGGCAGCAGAACTTGATCTATTTATATAATTTTTCATATTATTTAAATTTCAGAGCCATTGCTTTCCATTTGCCCCATCAACATCCATAATTACATGTCCATAACCAAAGTCCAGTTTATGAATTTAGCTGAAATAAGGCACACACTGTTCAGATGATTCATATGTTTTATCAGTAATTATGTCCTATTTACCTCTAAACTCTGGATGCAAATACTGCAGAACACTCTGTTTTATACCAATGCACCAGTAACCCTACTACACACACAGCAATTTGTGGTGACCCCACACGTGTCTACATTTTGCAGTCTGTCCATTAACCATTAATCCACCCAGCAGAAAACAAGCTGATACCAGTATGTATTACAGGCATATTCCTATTCCACACTGCACTATCAGAGAATCTTGAATGCAGCAATGTTAATGTGTAACAGAAGTTACACAATTCACTTCCATTATCAGGTTTTAAAACCTGAAAAAGTATGATACAGACTATTGGACATTAAAGTAATAACGTGGATAATATTCTGTTCTCAGACCATTACACTGAAGAGCTAGATTTCCCTTTGGATACAGTAGCACAAATGCAGGTACTGACTGAAAAAGTAAGCAGCTGTAGAGAACACTGTTTTTATATAATGCCAATGAAACTACCTAGTGGATTAAAACCCCAAAACATTTAATAAAATTAAATAAGGCATGCCATTGTATAACAACTCAGAATTAGGTACAACTATTCTATAGGCATGTATGTGTATATATATATGCCTTCAGAATAGATACATATGTCTAATATATATACAAACATTAAATATATATTTATATAAAAATGCTACTTTCTTTAAGACCACCAGAACATACTCTGCAAACACAGAAACCAACATACAGGTACTGAGAAAAAATATGGTTTCATTATTATAACTCAATTTACTGATAGACAGTAATTTCAGTCAAGATTTGTCTAAATTCATCCATTTGATGCTATAGTTCAGCCTTAGAGATCCTTTATTCAGTACTAATTAATGATCCATGCCCTTTTGGTGCATTACTAATTAGAAATTGCGGTCAAGCAATTAAAATTGCGATCTCCAGAGCGTCCCTCCCCAAGAAGACAAGAGGAAGGGAAGTGCAATCAAATGAATTAATCCACTGATACACACTGAAATATTTTGCATTTATTTTTTGATCTGCATGACAGGCAATGCAGCTTCCAAAAAAGCACTTCATTTATAGGCACTTCTGCCAAGTCCCAAGTCGCCACAATTAATCCTTTGTTACTGTTCACAGATGACTTTTGTTTTTCTGGGACCGAAAGAAGCAGACTTTTAATGAGAGAAATACTACAGACCAGCTTGGTCAGGTTCTTGGCCAGACGCAGTTCTGCGGAACTGGGACTCTTCTGACACATTCAAACTGTTTCCTGGGAGGGAAGACAAAGCCCACAGAAGAGAAGCCAGCACTCCTGAGCAAAGCTCTTTCATTACTATAGGAATGAGGACAGGATGTGTAGGTTTACAGTACGAAAGCAAAAGGAACAGCGTGCCCAAATCTGCTCGAAGAAAGATGATCAAGGAATTCCCCTTTGCAGGGGAAAAGCACAGAGTCTCCTCTTTACGCATTCATTCTCTCCTAAGTAAGTAAGCAGAGACAACTACCAAAGGTAAGTAGAACACATCACCCAGAAACCTCTTGAGGCTATTTTCAAAGAATGTGCTACGGTTACTGATACCTATACCTAAAAAAGATCGGTTTTCCAAAGTTCCCATAAATCCATCTTCATCTGGTCTGGTTCCTGCAGGGCACAAAGAAGAGGAACTAGGCAACTCCTCCACCACGCTAAAGACCTATTAAGATGGCTTGTAAGGATCAGCCTTTGGAGTTACTCAAGTCCATGAATTGAACATAATTAGATCAGTTGCTTTTATCAGCTTATGCAGTATGAAGGGGCTGTTTGACTCGTCTGTGCAGAAGCAAGTACATCAGACCATCTGCGAGGGTATTGCGGGCAGCATGGCATACAAATACTTTTCTTGCAAAAATGATTCTTGGTTAGTTTGAGAAGAGCTGCTAATGAAGAACTAGAGGAGGTCCAACCTGCAGGTACGCAGTTCCCACCTGGAAAGGAGGAAACAAATGAAGGCAAACACTTCTGAGGTTGTAGATAGAACCACTACAAGTCCAAATTAAGAACTCAGAGACACCTAACAGTTGCTCTAGTGATATTGTCCCAAGAAAAAAAAAAGTGGACGGTAGCAAAACCTAGAAGTAATCAGTGCAGGCATGTAGCCTTCAGAAGGGCAGATCAGCCAAGCAAGTCAATCACTCAGCACGTTTGTGTCGGTTTGCTTGATGAAGTATTAAAACACAGAATTTGCAGTCTAGCAGTTTTGGCAAGGCACAAACCAAAATGCCCCAAATGGTTTCAAAGCTAGTTGTAACGGAAAGGAAAGGTATTCCCATAAAATTTATAAACTGTGCCCAAGTAATGCCAACATAAATACAGAGCATTTTACGCTGTTGTCCATGGAACTGAGATTAAGAGCTGGAGAAAGGTCTACTGTATTAAAATTAATTCAATATCATGATACCAGAAT